GTCTATAACAACAGCATCCAACAGTTCGTCTGTAATTCGTGATGAGACCTTTTCATACAAAAAATTATCCACCACACCTTTCTCCGCCAAACACGGGTCTTCCAGCATGGTTTTCGTTTCGGGAACAAGCGCTGTACCTGTCAAATGAAATCCCTGTGAAACATTCAGTACTATGTTCCTTTTTTTCCCCTCAAAATCTCCCTCCAGCTTTTCAATAAAATATTTTTATACTTTATACCACTATTTGCTATCGCAACCGTCCTCTATTCTCCCCTCAATCGGTATGCAGATTGGAGTGTATTATTTTCCTTCGTTTTTTATACGTTTTTTTGTAGGTTACTTCAAAACCGCATTTCGAAATTTGGATTGGATTGTCTGAAGATCTATCGCGACCCTAATAGTTGTTTTATTGGACTAGTGTGTGTCCCGTTTGTATGGTGTGTGTGTATTTGCGTGTCACGCGTCGCGCCCTATATACATGTTTATTATGCACAATAATGCGAAGGATAAGGTGTAAAAAGTAAATGAGGCTCTGGGGAGCCGAAGCTCCCCAGAATAGGAGTAGTAGTGTATAGAATAAATAGGTTAGAATAAGTAGATCGAAAGTGGCGATCCCGGCGATGGGGAGGAGTGCTTTTATACATCAGGGAACAAAGATCGGAAGTTCAGTGAGGTATCGCGACCGTAATTGTTATCTTATTTAGACTAGTGAGTACCCCGTGGGTAGTGCCTTTTTTTAGGTTTCAATAGCCCTGACCGTATTTGTTGCACAGGGCTGCACGGGCAACCTACCAGTCGCCCATAGAAAAAATTTTTGGCTAGTCGTTTACGACACGAGCCGAGCCGAGCCGAGTTTTATTAATTGCTACAATCTTCACGAACTAAATGAAATGCTGCAGGATCTCAGTGCACAAAGTAAGGAAGTGGGCCTGAAAATTAACGCATCGAAAACGAAAGTGATGCAAAATCTTGGGCCTCTTGTTCCTCGTTCGGCCGCATTCCGAGCTGAAAATTTCAAATGTTCCTAGTTCGTTCTTCATTTTCTGTATCAAACCACACTGGCTGAAATCTTTAATTCAGCCAGTGTGTACCAGTTTTCGATGCAGGCTTCAGTGTCCTGATAGTCCGGAAGTTGCTGGTGTGCGAAAGGCACCTCGCCGTGGACATCAGTCACTCTTTTTAAGCATTGCTTTTGCTGCAGTGAAAAGGGCTATCGCAGAGACTGCACATAGATGATATGGACTAAGAAGAAGTTGACAGCTACGTCTGTCTTGGACAGGAAGTAAATATGCGCCACAATCTCCAGCCGGAGATTACACATCGAAGCGCTACTGGTTGGCGTAAATTGTACAGCATCGCTGATGTCCTCAAAGTGTCGAACCGGAAGGACCGTGCCCACCTCTTCAGTACTACTGTGCTGAAAGCAGCGATGTACGGATACGAAACGTGGTCAATCGCCAACGCTGAACAGCGAGCGCTGGAGGTGATGGAGAGAGCGACGGAGCGAAGGATGCGTAGCGTATCTACCCTTGACCATATAAACAATCAGACTTTCGGCAAGATGAGTAGTGTCCAGGAGAAAGTATCACTGTAAAAACGCGAGAAAGTAAAATTCGATGGGCAGGGCATGTTGCTCGCCTTGCCGACAACCGATGGACAATACGTTAAAGAATGCTATCCACGGGAAAATAATCGACTGCCCAGGCAATCTTTAAGAGGTAGCGCACATACATCAAACAGGCGGTGGATATTAACTGGCGGCACTCAGCTCAGCAGTGAACGACCTGGCATAGCTACACTCGACGTGTGAGAGCATTCCAGTAACATAACTAATAGG